ATTACTTACTACCACAGTGCTCAAGTTTTACACTATATTAACACAGAGATTATATTTCAAAAATACAAAAAACTTCAAATAACAATCTTATTCTTCTCTGGAATCGGAGAAGAGAAATGAAGCGAGCTGGTCAAAGCTATTGGGAAGCCAGTCATCCAGTCAATTTGTCTTCTCACGATGAAAGCAAGAGTAAGAATAAGTACATGGAATGTCCGTACAATGTACGAGACTCGGAAGGCTGCCTAGGTAGCCAAAGAAATGCGAAGATATAAAGCAGAGAAGTGTTTCTGTATCTGTCAGAATTGGAGAGGTTAGATACGCCTTCATCAACCCCTGAAACCAATTTGAAAATCATCTGATTCACTCAACCAGCATAAAAAACAACATTCGAATTCTGTTCAACACAAATGTCAAGTTGGTCCTTCTATACGCGTCAGACAGAAACATGCACTGCATGTCAAGTGAAGGGTTTTTAACAGGCCATTCTGCAGACTTTTACCATCAGCTCCCTACTTCGATGTTTCCATACTTAAGATCAAATGGCCAGAAGGAATAAGTAACAAGTAACTGTGGTTGTGAACTAACGAACCACGAGCTGATCACTCAACAGATACGTAGGAGAAAATGGAAATGGATCAAGCATATATCGAGGAGACCGTCAAATAATATCGCGCGGAAAGCAGGCTATCACTCGAGTGGAATCCAAACGGTTAGGAGCAAGTGGATCGTCATTTCGACGGTGACGTGGACGAGACCGTGAAAGGAGGACATCAGAAATGATGTGAGACGGTAGAGCAAGGTGAAGAGGAAGGCAGACAAAAGAAAAATGTGGAGATGTGTTGTTAAAGCCTGGATATGTGTTTTGGAGCCCAAGGGAAAATTATAATAATAATAATAGAAGGTTGTCATTTTAAGTACACAATGTTCAATGAAGAATCGCTCTTCAACGAATTTGTTATCAAGCTGTACAATCGTACATATATATGGGCTGATCTAAGAAATTAAATCTGGGGAGGGAATTTAATCAAAGGTGTGAATACTTGAAATAATAATGATGATACTAGTAAGAAATGCTATTGAAATATTTGTGATTGGAATCTCTACAGCCTCTGCCTTTAGATTCATCTACAAGACGAAAAGTAATTCGCCAAAATCACCGCGTATCTGACTCATCTGTATTGCTAAAGCCTTGGCTATCGAAGCAGAAAAGCCAGATCTCTGTATACAGATAAGTTCGTTCAACCCCTCCAGCTTTCATGGTATTAATCCATTTATGCTAAAGAGGGCGTAATCCTTAATAATATGTTGACTCTACCAATTTTTTCGTTGTGTTCATTCTGTTTGTATACTCTCAACCATTGGTATCAGGTGTGTGTCGGTCAGGGATCGAACGTCAGACAATGTGCATGGTCGGCGAGAGTCACAACCACTTTGCGACTGACGAACACCTATAATTGCACACCCGTTCCAAGTTCTATACATCCTGTGGATTATTCTGTATATGACATTAATTATTTCGCCACTTGACATTTAACTATGATTATAATCACAAACATTTTAGCAGACTGCTTTACAGACAGTTTGGAAAGCGTCTTTTTGAAATCAACAATTAAGAAGTTAAAACTGTAAAAACAGATACGTCGAAGATACCTTTATAGTCTGCTACGATAACCCTGACTTCTATTGTACCTTAAAAGATTTTAATAATTCCAATCCTTCAATTAAATCCACAGTGAAATTAGAAAACGATTCAAAGATTCCATATCTGGACGTGGAATTAACAAGAAGAGATGATGGAACTCTAAAGAGATCCATCCACAGAAAACCAACTTGGAATGGCCAATTAATGAACTTCTGTAGTTAGGTAATTTGGAGTAGAAAACGAGCCCCCGTCGTTGCACTAACCCACTGTAGCAGTAATAGCTTGGAAGAGGAGCCATTATTCCTTAAAAATATCATGGCACAAATTAGTTACCCGACACACTTTGTCGACAAGAACATGAAACCCAAACCAAGAAGAGAAGAATGCAGGTCAGTGCCGAAGAAAACCGTGTATATGAATATGAACTTCAAGGGAGCTTTGGCAGCTGATATTCTAAAGAAAAGAATATCCAGCTCTTTAAAGAAGACCTTCCATGCAGCAACACTAAGAGTGACATTCTTTAGCCGCCTAATACTTCTAAACAATGCAAAGGACAAACTCTTGCAAATGACCAATTCAGTGTGCATATACCAGTTCACCTGCTCGGGTGGAGCTAGGTACATAGGTCGTTATCTGCGCATCTTATACAAACATACTAGAGAACATTACCCAGTATGACTGAAAAGAGGAGTGCCATAATTGAACATCTGATCAGCGTGTCCCACAGCATCTCAAATGATTCATTCAAAGTCATTTACAAAGTGAACAGAAACCTACCAAATGCAGAATATCTCCTATTTCTTTGTACTGCAGAAGCCCTCACAATATGTATTGAAAAGAAACTAGTCAAACCTTTACAACAACCATGGACCTAGTTCGGTATTTTTCCCTAGTCTACCGTTTTTTCATTCACTGTGTGTTTGTGTAATTTTTTTCTCCTTGTCCACATTCAATTCACCCCCATCATCACCATGCACCGGTGGCACAGTGGTTAGGACTCTCGCTGACCATGCACATGGTCCGGGGTTCGAGCCCACGCGGACGCACACCTGATATCTATAGTCGGCCTGCAAAATTTGGGCTACCGATATCCACGCTGAAAATTCCATACTTGTACCAAAAATATGGTGTGGAATCAAGCTGTAATAAAAAAAAGTAAAATAAAATAAAATTCACCCCATCATCACCGTGCACCGTAATGTTCAGCTACCTAGAATCGTGGCCACACTGCAAACCTGACTGATTAAATTCAGTTTGCACCGAAGAAAGGAGTAGAAACGTTACACTAGTTACTAGTGTCCAATCAAATTACCCACTACAGTCTTACAGGAGATGAATCGCGAGCCAAAATAGCTCAGTGGCAACCTATCTGATTGCAGGCAGCACTGGGTGATGCGGGTTCGAATCTCAGAGCGGGGGACATGAGCTCTTTCAAGGTTGCAGATACAACCTGCTGATTAGTGCAACCTAGCACGAAACCTAGGTCATGTAGGGATTCCTGTAGCCGATTGCCTCCAACCATCTAATAGCATTTCATACTATAATTATTTTATGCATTCACACCTAAGCTTCCATTTCCTTACTGGATGTAATTTCTAAATTATAAAACCATATATATATATATATATATATATATATTTTCAAGTATTGGTTTTTTGTAGGGATTTTGTTTGATTGCATGGAGGATTTAATCATGAGCTGACATCAGTGGTTCTCTAACTGATGTCAGCTCATGATTAAATCCTCCATGCAATATATATATATATATATATATATATATATATATATATATATATATATATGTATATATACAGCTTGATGAAAAATTCGCTGAAAAGAGTCTCTTCACTGAATCACTGGTTTTCACTTTCACTTAGAATCATAGTTAAATATGAAGTGTCTAGTAGCTAAACAATTAATGTCATCTATACAATAATTCATAGGGATGTATAGATGGTGGACAGTAATGTATGATTAAAGGGTGAATAGGCTAATATAAAATGTTACATAACATGGTATGAAATTTGATAAGATAGAATTTACCACTGTAAGAAACCAATTTTCGATTTAGAATGACAAGTGGAAACAGTCCAAAGTGAGAATAATAATAATAGTCGTAGTAATGAGGGAAAGGTACATAGATTAACTTTTTAAACAAAATAAATAAATATCTATTCATCCTTGGCCAAGGCAGAAATGGGAACCTGACATATTTTTCTTTTATACACAAAAGTCTGCCTTAGATTGATGAGTGTATGATCAAGGCTTCAGCTGTCCTTAGAAGTTCATAATAAAGAAAACGTGTCTGGTAAGTTAACATGAATTCGACAGATAACTATCACAAAATCATGGTCAGTGTTGGTAGAGTGACAGGAGTCGAGCAAGTGTTCTAGAATAGAGCTTTGCACAGACTTCCTTTGTCTCTTGTACGACAATGCTGGAGTATGTTCTGGTATCTGTGTGGAAAGTGTTCTCTGGCTACGGCCAATGCAATTAACTCCACAAGAACAGTTAAGCTGTTAGATGCATATGGAGGCAGCCAGACGGGGAAGGTTATCTTTAACAGAGATGGAGAAAAACTTGTAGCTGGTGAACGTCATTTGTAATTTTGCAACAAAGAACGTCTTACTGACTGATTTAGAAAGATGGCTTTTGAGCAGACGTGAAGCCTGATAATCTTTGAACTCCAAATTCATGAATAAGGCTTTCTTTAGAAATGAGTCGGTGACCAGTTTGAACCGTTTATCATCTTTCGTGTTTCTGTCGATAAATCAATTGGCGTAACCGTGTTTTGTGAGGGAGGATTTTAGAAAGACAGGTTCAGAATCAGCGCAACCAGAAAAACAAATGTTTTTCATTCGATAGTAGAGCGAATGAATTAAGTTTCTTTTCCAGCAGATAGACAGGTAACTATAAAAATTTGTTAGTTGTCCATTTCATACACGTTTCTGGTGGATGGATTTTCGAGAGATCCGTTATTGCATCTAACAAGGCACGCATAAAGAAAGAGAACACCAATAATTGCAAAAGGGAATGCTTAGTTCACATATATACTCAAGAATTATGTTCTTATCTCAGGTAACGAAAGCGTCGTCTGAATATCCTCTATAAATGTCAAAATGACAAGTGGTTTGATTAAGTTGAGAGTTTTCAAGCTTTCCCATAAAAAAGCCAATCAGCAATGAACCCAATGGCGATCTCATTGCAATGCCATGTGATTCATTATTTAATTAGCTTGTAATTGTCATGAAGAGCTTGTTAGTGAAACTGGTGTTAACTTGACTTCGTAATCTGCATTATATATATATATATATATATGCATGAAGTGTATGCGCCACAATAAAGTTAATGAACTTACAGAATAAATGAATGAATCTTGTATGAGTTGTGATATCTTTTCCTAATCTCCAGTTCGTAATAGTACACCATACTACTGCTGTACCATTACTTAGACGTGATATATCAAAAAAATATCCTCTCCACCAAAATACTGGATTTTCAGCGTAATTCCTTATCCAAGTTCTTGCATTTAGACCAGATTGGCGGGGATTAAGCTCACAATATCTCTTCAATATTTGCCTTTCTACTGAACCTACTAACCGGGTTTGTAACATACAATCTGTGTTAGAAGACAATGAATCAAATAAAATAAATAAATAAGTTAACAGAAATCAAAGAATGAACATTTCTTCTTACAAAATACTCTTGAATAAATAAAACTTTTCAAAAAAAATGGATACTGAACAAAGAGTACTCTTTTCGATTACCCCTTCATCATCAGGCTCTACATTTATACAGACATTATAGTGAGTGAATGAATTAGTGTTATGAACGACATTAATGTTGTTTAAATAACATCGAATCAATAATAATAATATTAATAGATTACAGCTCAGTAGCATCAACATAAAAGAAGCTGAATGTCAGAAGAATTCGGAAAGATGATAATACAAATTCATGAGTTTATAGTTTCTACTGAAGGCCAGGGCAATAGTAGGGGCTGGACTTGCTTCTTTTGAACACAGAGCGCTGGTTGTTTGAGGTGAGCATTCAGTGCTTCGATGATTTTGGCAATTTATTAGGCACCCGGTAGATGATAGAGAAGGATTCTTCAACTCTGGCTGGCTTTGTGGCCAGTTTGCACCAGATGGTCTAATGTTGAACTGTTGATGGTTTTTACTACACCTTTCCTTAGCCATGCTGGGAGATGTTCCCTAGTGAGCACGAAAAATCAAGTTCCTAGTGCGACGGCTGATACAACTCGCTCTACTACAAGTGTAGTTGAATTGGTAGATACATCTGGAAATGGCAAGCTAGTCTAGCTACTTCATCTTTTAACCGTGGAATCACCATCGGTCGTGTTACGTCATACAACTTATTTGCTCAATTTCAGTTCTAATTTAAACGACATTATTCCCTACCCCACTTCTACTTAGTCTCTCTCTACCTGTAATTACCTCTGTTGCTATCCTGACCTAAGTTGAAACATTTTAGTCAATTATATTACGTCATCTAATAATGATAATATTAGTAATAATTAAGTGAAGACGTAATATGTCATGAATTTGATGTATATTGTGTGTTATTCATGCTGTGGCATGTGCTACTGACAATATTTATCAGTATTATATATATATATACGCAGATTGATAGAAATTAGCTAAAGTTGAAAACTAAATTTAGAGTGACATTAGTAACAGAAGTAGGAAGAAGTGTTCACTTCTCAAATGTGCAGGATAGAGTTTACTTTGTGGTTAGGAAATAATCTCAAGGTTTAACCTACAAAAAATCAACAACTAATCTGCTGATCTAGTAGCTTAACATAAATATGGCTAAAATGTATTTTTTTTAAAATGGTGTGATTTTCCTCTAATAGAAGATGACAGAGGACAATGAAAGCTTTACAATTGCATCAATCAGCTTAGAGAACACACAGCAAAGTTAGTATCATCCACCTGAGCTAAAAAGCTTGTTCATTATTTCAGAAATCTATTGTTTACAGTAAAAATTCAGAATTGTACAAATCATTTTTGTATTATACATATTAATTTTACTAAAGGAGGGAACCGACAGTGAATCACAAGGCGTATCACAAATAGTAAATAAAATTGTGATGAGAGCAGGCTGTCAGCCAATTGGTAGACATTAATTTACGTCAATCTCTATGTCGCAAATATTGGCCGTGAACAAATATGAACAAGACTGATTCAACAACCAATCACAGCAAACTTAACATGGGCAAATACGATTCGCAGATATATGGCTTAACTTTCTGAGAAACCTGTCACAAGCAGTACAGAATAACCTTGAGCAAGAAACAACCAACCAGAGGACTGAGTTTGTCTGCTTGAATAAGCTATAATAATGTACATGAAATATATATATTTCCTCAATAAACGATCTGTTTGGCTGGCCCTTGTCTTCTGTTGTTACAATATAACTAGCTACTCATTCAAACTTTTGGATGTTATTTATCCTGTAGCTTGTACTTTGATCGATATTGCCTGCACAAAAGACGCTATGGTTGAAGACAGAAAAATAAGTGTCCCATTTTTAGAAACCAAATTCTTTAGAGGGGTGAAACTTTTCTTAGAGAGAGGTGTTCATGCATCTTTTATTATTTGTATACATCACCTATTGCTTGAAGCTTTATTTTCTACTAGGAAAGTAGAGGAAATAAAAGAAAATTTGATCATTGATACTATCAGCATTATTGGATTCATAACTTCCTTTGAAAATGATTGAAATATTGAAAAAGGATTTCTGATGAACCAGTGGAAGATTCTATACTTACTGCAGGTTCTCTAACTGATGCTGTCAGCTTATGATGAAATCCTTCATGCAAACAAACAAAAATCCCTACAAAACCAATACTTGAAAATTAATCTGATGCTTAATAGCAACTGGACCTATTCAGTCAGCCACTTGGGATTCTAGTGGGAAGCCGTGACCAAGAGGGAAAACAGCAGGTTGAAGATGAAGCAGTAACTCATCGAAGAAGACATTGTGAAATGGACGTGGATTAGCAGTAGTTAGAATTCAAGGTCCACTGGACCACATCCCAGTAGCTCAATGGTCTACAAGCTGGCTAGCCTTGTAACCAGGAGGTCCTGGCTTTGAACCCTATCAGTGGGGGTGTACTGATGAAGAGTCCCAAACTAGGCTGACGAAACAGCTGCCCAGTACTCCAGTGGTGGTTTCCCATTGGTTCACTAACTGATGTCAGTTCATGATGAAATCCTCCATGCTTACTGAAGGCGTCAAATTTAAAAAAAAAAAACGAAAAGAAACATAAAACATTCAACTATGCTGGTTTTGAATGACAACCAAAATGTTATAAATCTTTGAATATTCCATTGGAATTAAAAGTGGAAAGATAAAATGCTGAAGTTTGTGTTACTTCAGTACTAGAGTACCAGAAAATTCTTGATGTTGAATGGTAGATCCTTTTCTTTTGAAAATGTTTCATGATAATGCCTGTTTTAAACAAAGCAGTACAGTAGAATGTAAGGGTCTGTTTCTTGCATTCAAACTATGACTAAAAAAAATTAAGTTGTGATGATAGTGGTAGTATCTTTATCAACTAACTATTATGCTAATACAATTTAACAATTCAAACATTTTATAACACACTCACGGGTGATTTTTATGCTTCTCTCAAATTCGTATAGCTTGACATTATCACCTTGTCTTTTAAATGTACACTTTAGTTTTACTATTCCACTCATATCATATATATCAGCATTCGAAGGTTTCTTAATGTAAACCTTCCCATTATTATGAATCATAGATACAAGATAATGATTCTTTCCTTGTGTGAATTGGCCACTCCAATAACCGCTCAGTTGTGATTCAATTCCTTTTGGTAATAATCCACACTGAAATTGATCCTTTGATCCAATGGGAATGACAATGTCAGATGCATCAATCAAATTTATTGTGCCATATACTTTATCACAGCCTTCAATTGAATAATTTCAAGATAAAAATGATAAAATTGATCAGAATGTGATCATTATAAATGTATAACAAACAATATACCTTCTAGGTTTGGTTTCTTTTTATATTACTTATAGCCATTAGAAAACCTGGAAGTCCTGGACAGTTGTTTCGTCCTAGTCTGAAACTCTTCATCAGTAAGCATCTATCGAAGGGGCTAGAACCTAGGACTTTCTGGTTCCAGGGAGCGCTCGTGGACTATTAAGCTTCCTGGGACCTGATCCTATGGCCCATAAAATTCTAACTTCTGCCAAATCATGCTATATATATATATATTATATATATATATATATATATATATATATATATATATATATATATATATATAGCATGATCAATTCCCAATACCTTCTTCGAGCTTTTCTTGTAACCAGAAGGTCTTGGGTTCGAACCTTAACAGTGAGGTGGATGCGTATTATTGATGAAGAGTCCCAAACTAGAACAAAACAACTATCCAGTACTCACAGGATTTCCAGTAGGTCTCTCTCTCTCTCTCTCTCTTGTGTCAGTCAGCTCATGATGGAATCCTCCAACCAATCAACAACAAAAAAAACATCCCTACAAAACCAATACATGAAAATTTATTGATTATCTATAGTCAGTACTTTTCGGTAAAGTTAAACTTTAAGTACCTGTAAGTACCAACTACTGACAAAATGACAGTGAATGTACTAATCCCACGACAAAGGTGATTTCTGCGTATAAAATATACGAAAGTGTTACACAGGATATGTTTCTGTGACGTATGATAGAAATATTTCACAGTTTTTCGATTGCAGTAACAACAGATTAATTTAACCATATTCTATTCATGTGATTATTTCGGTCTTCTAACCTTTGACAATAGCCATAATCTTGAAAATATCCTTAAACTAAACCTAATTTAACTCGAGCTAGTACTAATATCAACTTTATTAGATTAACCTAATCCTAACCTAGACTATTTGCCATAGTGTTAACCTTATACAGCCATTGAAATGAGCCGTTCGATCACTGAAACTGCCTCATTTTTATGAGATTTGACAGGGTATATATATATATATATATATATATATATATATGGCAGCCAACTATCAACGTCATTGACTTTGAAAAGGCCTTCAACAGCGTCGATAGAGAAGTGATTTGGAAACTACTTCTCTACTACGGCGTGCTGCCAACAATTATACATCTCATCCAACCGTCATACGACAACGATGCATGCCAAGTAACAGGAATGTCAATGGGAAACTTACGGAATCCTTCGAAAAGGTGAAGACGGGAGTAAAAGAAGGCTCCCTAATATCATCAATGATTATCCATGTTTTCGGGTGGTAGACTAGATAATGTGACAGACAGCGGGCGGGGCAACAAAGAAACAGGCATAAAATGGACCCACACAAAATACTTGTGAGATCTGGACTTCACCGATAATATATTTCTGATTTCTCATAAACTGGAAGATATGCAAGTGAAAAGCAACAAGTTGGCAGAAGAAGCATCCAGAGAAGATCGAACCTCAGGTGAACATAGAGAAAATAGAGGTAGGTGATGAAGGTTACTGGCCAACAGCAGCAGCAACAATAAAAACAACAGACAACAATCAGCCAGCATAAATGGGAGGAACCTGAAAGAAACAACCTCCTTTACCTACCCACCTTGGAAGCATCGTTTCAACTACAGGCGAACGGAACGGACGAGGATATCAAAGCCAGAATCAGAAAAGCAAGACAAGCTTTCATAACTCTTAAGTCTGTGTGGAGATCAACAGCACTCAGCATGAAAAATGAGATCCCGATTTTCAACTCGAATGTGAAGTCAGTTCTTCTATACGGATCAGAGACTTGGCCAGCGCGTCATAAAGAGCACCTTAAACAGTCTACAGACCTTCATTAACAGTTTTCTTCGCCCAATACTACTCAAGATCAGATGGCTGGCCAGAAAAAAGTCAGCAACAGGGATCTCTGGCAATGAGCAAACCAACCCAACAGGAACCGATTGTGCAAAAAATAGGCAGGAAGAAATGGAGATAGGTTGGCTGGCCATACTCTGAGGAAACCATCAGGTGACATCATTAGACAAGCCATCGCTCGAGTGGAACCCGAAAGGGAAGCGGGCGGCGAGTTGTTCGTCAGTGCAAGTGTGACTTGGAGGAGGTCATGTGAGGAGGAGATGAAAACATGTGGGCAGACTAGGAGCAGGGTGAAAAAGTTGGCAGAGGACCGAACGCAACGGGGACTCGGGTGGCTGAAGCCCTATGTTCGTCTAGGAATTAAAGGATATAATAATAATGATAATAATTGCTAAATAAAGATTTAAACTAAAACACTGAAGATGCTTCAGAAGCTGATTTCTTGGCTGCACTTGAACCATCATTCATTATGATCAAAGTTAAATGAGAAAACACAAAATTAGATACGCTCAACTATTGTACCGATAGTTAAACCGGAAGAACAACACACAAACACTGCTCAACTCTCAGGAACTACAGGCACTTAGAAATCTGAAAGATAGGAAAGACATCGTGCTGTGAATCATTTGCCACATATAAAGATCATCTCACTAATCACTGCAAGACTTTTCAAACCTTTTGGGATTGATGTCTCACACAAACCAACAAAATCACTTCACTCGTCTTTGTATCATTCAAAAGATTCAACAGAGAAAGAAGATGAAAGCAATGACCACGAAAAACGAAAGTGGATTCCCTCTTCGTCTTAGCATCTATGAGTATAAGAGACACGATATTTACTGCCTCATAATGCTGCATATGGACAACCACTGACATCAATCCGACTAGGAATACGTTCAAACATTTGGTGTAGGAAACACCAAGAAAGCTAGACACATCGTCATAGAAAAGATTTACCAACTTATAAGAGGGACATCACATGACTAAAAAATCAGACTTCAGATCAAGGAAACAATCCGTACCAAGACAAGTAGACTAAAAGGTGAAGAATCACACAAAAACAACCAATCATATTTAAGGTTACTAGAGGAGATGACTATTAAACTAATGGAGAAATTTCACAACCTACTTCAAATTGAAGTATACACTGAGGATGCTGTCTAGTAAAGCAATGAAGGCCTCACAAGTAAGCCATCCAGCTCTGTGAACACAAATTCATCTGAATTGTGTACAGTTCAAAGTAAAAAATCACCATAGTTTTCTTTGAAAGCCAAAAAATACTGAGATCCATTTTGTCTACTTGTATTTCATGACTAGTTTTCAACTGCTTATATCTATTAGTAGTAAACAGTGACATGCTACGTTTTGCTTCCTTTCTTGATTACAATATAAATAGTGACCACGATTTTACTCCTCCAACTCGAATTGTGTAATTTTCAAATGGTGAATTAGACTCTTCTATAGTTTCGTTTGTAAGGGTTAGTTATGTTTCAGGATTTCATCATGAGCTGACATTAGTTACAGAACCATTGGAAAACCTGGGAGTACTGAACAGCTGTTTCGTCAGGCTAGTTTGGGACTCTTCAGCAGTACGCACCCCCCTGGATTCGAACCTAGGACCTTCCGGATACAAGGCGAGCTCGTATACCATTAAGCCACTGGGACCCGATTCAATGGTCCTTGAATTCTAACTTCTGACAATTCACGATATAGCGCGACCGCTAGCCAAGTTATGTTTTTACCAGTTGATCACGGATTGATATCAGTTAGAGAGCCATTGTACACCAGGGAGTACTGGACAGCTGCTGTTTCATCCTAGTTAGTGACTTGCTACAGGATGGAGTGTCCTGGAGTTCTAGTGAGAAGTTGTGACCATTGAGATCCATCCAGATGTCACGTGTGAGGATGGATGTCCCTCCGACGACATGGGTTGGGGTCGCGCTAAATCACGAATTGGTAGAAGTTTTATTTTTTTATGACAGCTTGATTCCACACTTTATTTTGGTACAAGTATGAAATTTTCAGCATGGGATATCGGTAGCCCAAATTTTACAGGCCGACCATTGATATCAGGTGTGAGTCGGCGGGGGATCGAACCTCGGACCATGTGCATGTTTGGCGAGAGTCCTAATCACTGTGCCACCGACTCACGCTATTACACTATTATCACCACCGCAAACACACCCTTGTTGTAATATAGATCACAATGCAATGGAATTATCAAATTTCCTCTAAACCATTCCTTTTTAACGAGATTTACGATTTACGATGTGAATTATTCTAAAAACAAACAAAACTCAAGTTTTTTGCTTATCAATAAAAGACAGAAAAAAACACATCACTGGGCATCACCATCACCAGGGGGCTATGGTGAATTATCGTCATCAGTGTGTTTATATGACAACTGACCATTTGTATTCTCCAGTGGAGACGGTTGGCAATGAGTCCATATGTATTAATGTTAGTAAGAGAGGCTTAACGATACCACACAACCTGCGCGGCTGTGCAAATGTTGGGCCGTTAACAGTCACCAAGCACCGAGAACAGTGAATGAGTGAGTGCGTGATTGAGTCACAGCCTCTCTCACATAGAGAAGTGAAGTAGTTTCAAGGCTATTCACACACACATACACATAGCATTTCATTATTGGGAACTATTCTTTTGCCGACCTCGCATATATACTTATGCATGTATATAGTAGACAACTTACTTGGTAGAAATTATCATCAGGTAATGAATCGCCGCCATTAGTGTGAACTCAAGAGCCACTGAATCGGCTCCCAGTGGCTGAATGGTATACGAGCTAGCTTGCTTTGTAACCGGAAGGCCCTGGATTCGAACTCTGGTTGTGGGTGCATACTGGTGATGGTTCCCGAATCAGATTCTCTCCATTACCATTTCATCGGAGCAGATAGTCATAAACTTTGTGATTTAGATTCATTTGACACTGTGAGCTGAGTTCACGCAAAATACCTAGTTGATGAGTTCAGCTTCAAGCAAAACAAGGGGTCATCTGATGTGAGTGGTTCCCAACTAGTCATACTAATTCACCAAGACTAATAGACTTCAATGAAACATTTGGAATTCAAAGCTCTCTTATTCACTATCAAGTAAACATTTTGTAGTTTGTACTAAGCTCACTTGTAATTGTTTATTTATGTAAAAAATAGACTTTTATGACCTTTTAAAGTTGTTTAATAAATTTATGACTGAAGAAAACTAAAGGTATTCCACAATAAACTGTAATCATTATTAAAATTCACTTACCTGTGATGGTTATCATTTTTGTAAATTGTAAAATAATATCTCTTGTCTCTGAATTAATTAATGTGCATTCAATTTCAACTATACCAGATTTAAGATAAATTGTATAATTATTTGACGGTTTAATAAAAATTTGATTATTTCTTTTCTCCATATCTATAATACTATGCCTTCCTCTAATTATACGTCCTTCCCAATATCCTTGACGTTCCAAAGGAATCTTATTAGATAATACACCACATTTGAAAACTGCCCTGTCACCAATTTTAATCTCAATATCTTCACTATCGAACCCATTTAAGGTACCCTGAATTTCATCTTGAGAATACAAAATTTTTAAAATTTATGCAGATACATAAAGTTTATATGAAGTTCTACATTCAAATTAAAAAAGAGACTTCTTTAAACCATGTAAGTCATTTTTTACCTCAACCCTGTCTACTTTGAAAAACCCTTCAAATGAGTCAACAATGAAGTCATTTAGCAGATGCTTTAATACTTTAACTCACAAATGAAAGCCCATATAAGCGCCTGAAGTGAACAGATGGTAAAGACATTGGCGTCACCCGCCACTGATGATCCACCTAATTGTGGCGGATCGGGTCGTGCGGCAAATTGTGAGTGGTGGGAAGACAGGCATACGTTGAATTGTCAAAGAAACGCTGGGAGATTTACATTTAGCAGATAATCTTTATCTCGAAAACTTTCAAGCAAAAGCCAAAAGGTTGAAAGAAGAGGCATCAAAAAACAGGGCTTCAAGTTGACATATGGTAGACAGAAGTGAGGAAGATATCCAACTGTTAAAAAACTCCGACTTCTGTCAACAAAGTAAATCTAAAGGTACTTGTTTCCTTAACTCACCCGGGCATCATTATTTTAGCGAAATGTGATATATCCGGGAACATTGAGGCTAGTTACGACTGGGAAAGTAAGGCAGAGTTTCATTACTCTGAAATCAAAGTGGAGATTTTTCCACTGAGACAAATGAATAAGACCCGAATTCGACGAGTCAGGGTTTTTATGTACTTTAAAGACTTATCACATGCACCAACTTAGGCACTTCTAAACTTTAATCAAACCTCTGTACTTTGCTAGATAATAAAACTGCGACTGTTGGTCGATGAGCATAAGTAATAGGGAACTCTGGCAGTGAACGAGGCAACAAACTTCGAACCAATCAGTATGCAGAATGAAATGGAGATGATTCATACATACACTTTGAGATGTACAAGTGGTATTACACTTCAGGCCTTTGAGTGGAACTCTAGTGGAAGCAAACGACGAATCAAGCGTTTAAGAGTGACATGAAGGAGACTGTGAAAGAAGGAAGTGAAGGCTTTCAGTTAGTCGTCGAGGCAAATAAAAGTGATGGCAAATAACTGATTCCAACCAAAGTGTTCCTCAGATGACCTAATTGCCACTTAAAGTGCACGGAAAATGTGATAGAAAAATCAAACTGAAAAATTTGAAATGGAAGATATTGTCAGATACAATACTAAAATGAGTAATTTGTAAATTTTTCTATGTCACCATTCACGAAAACTTTACTCCTATTGCATGAATTCGAATTGAACACTTCAATGTCTTTCGTCTTAATAAACTGCCTTTCTCACAAATCTGGTGAAGCGGCGTATAAATTGAGCAGAAATGTGGCTGACAGTTAAGATGACCAACCCATTTATATTGTGATGCCAGTTATGAATAAACAATATACACCTCGTTTAGCATTTCTTAAGACATATGCATGAATTTCTAAGTAAAACGGGGTCAAGGAGTTTTGGGTTATATAAAAATCTATCCTTTATAGTTAGAAGTCTACGCAGACTATTGGATATTTAAATAGCGTACAGGCAATTCGCAAAATTCAGTTTAACAGTTATGAAAAAAACCACAAATATTAATTAATGTTAGTGAAGAACTTGGGCATTGAGGTAGAATGTAATTCTCTATTAAGTAAGTTTATTTTAATGACCACACGCTGATGCATTTAATTTCCATTTGCCGTATATACAAATAGTGAAGTAATCTATTCAACCGTCTTCTTTGATGACATTGCAATGCAAGAGGGAATAAACCATTGTTTCTCAGCATTTTCACCAATGATTTCAAAAATAATATACCTGGCGAAATTTGTTCATTTATATTGAGGGATAAGCCATCAAAAATTGTATGCCTTATTATTGAGTCACCAGATGAAATGAAGCAGCTTGTCAGAATTGAACTTATAAATAAAAGGACACGTAGTTTGTGAATACAGACGTGATAAGTAGTAGTTAGCACATGCTATTCAAAATTCTACGTAAAACCATGCTGACAATTTAACAAACAATTGTTTGTTACATAAATTTCACAAATGAATGTATATGGTATCGCTATTCAGAAATTCAGTAGGTGTGCAGTGCTCAAATATCTAGGCCGCTCATAAAGCGAAACGCAAACACAGACCTGTAAAGTAGACCGAAAATAAAAGAGCACTTATTTTTGTGATAATATGAAAGCGAATTTATATTGTTTGCTTCTTTCATATATGACAGTTTTACAATGCTTTGTATTTACTAGCCTAAGTAATCCTTAGGTATTATTTTTGAGCTCATTTTAGTAATAAACTAGTATGTTAAGCAAACGGTCAGTATGCACCTACCTTCATCAGAATTTACGGAAAGTATCAGAAGATACCACAGCAAGGGATAAAATATCATCTTCCTTTCCAGTTGTTCTAATATCTTGCTCGTGATAGGAGTGCTATATCTGTATAGTGATGTAGAAAACAAATAGCTGTATTTTGTAAATGAAGGACGGATGATTTGTAGACGGCACAGGTGCTTTTTGCTGCAGTAAGATTATGTTAACCTCAAGGAACTGTCGAATTATGACGATAGTTTATAATGGGTAGCAGTCGAGCCAATGATTTTAGTACTGCTTCAGCGGTAACTCATAACACTATATGAAATTCCATAACGACACAAATTTATCGTTTCACTTTCATTTCAATGTCCAATATCTTCGCATCCAACTTGTTATATCTTTTGACTGGTTTGAATAAAAAATTTGACTTCTCAGCATTTTTTTCGTGTTTTTTTCAATATCTCTGAATCCTCGGTGTATCGCTGCATGCGAAATCTCGCTCATCGATTTCTGCAGTCACTGGTCTCATATCGCCGTATATTTCTTCAGAGTATGCAATATCCACCATTCTTTTTACGACATGGGGTAGGGTGAGTGTCTCTTACTTTTGTCGTGATGTTCGATTACCGTAGCTTTAGTTGACTTCGAGGGTGGGGAGTTGTGTGGAGATTAGTTGTATGTGGTTTGGAACATGTGTTTCGTAAAGACAATAGCATTCTTGTGAACGGAATTAATCCTTTTACCCATAAGTCATTCAGTATGATATAAAACGGGGCTAGTGGCTGTAAGGATACAAATAAAAGTACGTAAATTAGGATGAAAAGGAGTCAGGACAATGAAACTAGGGAAGGGTCAAGCGGAAGTTTTAGTGATACCTATTAACATAGTTAGGTATGGGACTTTCAAGCATATAGTTCGTTGCACATCGTATTTTCCTTTCTGCATGATCAGCAAGTCTTTGACCACTGCTTTCCACCAACTACGTCTGCTGGTTATGTTTTCCAAGAGATATAATCCCAGGCATAATTATTATTTCGATTTGTCGAAAATGCGTGTAACAAGTGAGTGTCACATTACATTTCGTCGATATGGTGAGCTACTCTCAATAGTAGAGCCATACTAGAAATTCATTGAACAAGAGTGGTCCTCATGATATCACACTGTAGTATGTGTTCCCGCAGAAAACAAATGTCGTTTCGTCCTTTAGTATGCTGCTTCTTCGAGGGTCTGCATTTGTTCGAAATCCTCGTTTGCTGTTAATGGGAAGCTCTCTGCTTCCTTCTAGGTAGTCTCTAGGGGGAGATTTAGCTGTCTTAACGTTCCAGACGCATACAACAACAAGTTTAAAAAAGCTGTCGTGCGTCGGTGGCCCAGTGGTTAGGACTCTCGCCGACCATGCACATGGTCCGAGATTCGATCCCCTGCCGACGCACACCTGATGTCTATGGTCGGCCTGCAAAATTTGGGCTACCGATATCCACGCTAAAAATTCCACACTTGTACCAAAAATACGGTGTGGAATCAAGCCGTAATCAAAAATAAAAATAATGTATCGTTACTTTGCTAAATTTGTGGGTCACCTGGACCTGTCAACTGCTCACGCTCCCAAAATGGCCTCAATGATGGGCTTCCTAAAATACTGCACTCCCCCCAGCTTCTCTCCCAAGGACACTGTTTACGCCGGGAAGATGTATTGAGAGAAGCCACAGTAAGCCTAGATCCTCTTACGGCAAAAGACTGAATGGCCTTAGTTCAATAATCATCAAAGCAATTAGTGTGAAATTTGTTTTCTACTTCTTAGGTCATTTCCCATAGCTGTGGACACTACTTCATACCCTTGTGAGTGAAAAGCTAGCTTCACAAACCCACACTACAAGTGAGGAGATTAGACAAACGTAAACATAATCCCGGTAATCTCGAGATTCATGCAGAAGGTTGTTAGAGATCGATTGTCTGACTGTTCACGTAGAGAAGATCTTGTTGCCAGGTCTCAGCACGGACTTCTCAAAAGTAGGTCCTGAATCACCGTTAGTGAGGAAGCACCCAAACTAATCATTGTTCTGTACATATTTATTGTAGGCATCTGACTTGGCGTCTCACTGTGTTCCCTTTGGTAAGATATATTTCCGTCGAATTCGTAATTTTGGTAAAAATCGTTTCTGTGGGCTAGATTAAGAATGAACAAAGTCTCATCCTAGAATGGGCGTGAGTGGGGCTGTTTAGGATAGTGTCCTAGGGACCCTCCAATATGGAGTCTGGCAGTGTTTATATCTACTTCACCACAGGCAAATTACTGCTATGTGTTGGCAACCATAGAGTCGTTTACCACTTTTAATTTATGGATTCAATGACTTGATATGTAGTATCCGTCTTATGCCAAGTAATCTCACATCATGATGTGCCAAATGATGTCTGAATTTTAACATTTGCAAATGCTGCTGGATTTGCATCAGCAATAATAGTCCCAGCTTAACTCCTGGAGTAGATGGGCAAAATCTTACATACGGGCCACTATTTAAATAAGTGCTTAGTTATTTGTAATAGATTACCAGCAAGTGTGCGTTACGCAAACGCACTCCTGCTCTTCATTTCCTCACTCAGAAGGCTGCGCAGGAATAAAAACGCTGTCGTCCACACAAATTTACTCTGTCCACTAAATGCGTGGTTGACAACGTTATTCTTTATCAAATGTCAATATTATTGGAATAACATATTAACATTTATAAGGAGCACACATGTAGCGAAGAAGTTGACATAAAGGACTATTAAGTGTGTCAACATATTGCCTAATTTATGTGAAAAGCAGATACATGTGAGTGAATGGATATATCGAAATATTATTACGTGAGTACTCACCATACTACTTCATGTCTTACTATAATTTGTATCCTCTTCAGCAACATTTTAGGTAATATATAACGTCTTGGATGATGACAAAGAATGTAAATATATCGCGACTTACAGGAACCGTTCAGAGAGATCAGAGGACTTCCATTCCCCAAAAAATTTATAAATGCTTTGCTAAACCAGCACACCATTGTATACAAAAGGATGGCGAGCTTAATACATGTACAAAATATTAGAATAGAGTCCAAGTTATTGAAAGAATATTGTAGCAGTATATTGCAAAAATACAGTTGACGAATCACAAAAATTACTGATTACTTGATGATAGAGTCAAAGTTTACTGCTGAAATTTATTAATATAATCCGCAGAAACGTTCACTGGGGGGGTCGTATCTGCTAATGGAAGCTGTGCACTGGTTGTGGAATAGTCTTCGGATGACAATGAGAAGTTTCTGCAAAATCCAAAGGATACAGCACTGCTAGTAGGGAAGCAGGTAGATGATTTGGATCGGTGAGAAGACGAAGCACTCTGTATTTAGATTGAACTCCAAAGTTATGTGTATTTTACAATGAATCGTTCGAAACGGAAGTTATGTATAATGTTCCCATCTTTAACATCTAAAAAACTACAAAAGCGTTATTTTTGGGACTGCTTACCTCCTCTTTTTCACGCATCCTGGATGGCAGTTGAGGTTTATTAGCTTCAGGGGAATAAAGAAACCCAAATAGCTACCTATACAACTCGAGTAAGTCTAAGCTTTCTAGAAATGATGGCAATATACGAGCTTCGCTGACACATATGATAGTAATTTTTAGTTCATGCATTATTCATCTGTTATTTTTTATGCGGAATTCCAACACTGTTCTGATCCCTAACAACCTCGCCTAGTTAACTAGCTTGCTAGTTTTTTGGCCGGTCTCAAACCCGGTAAAGAGGAGGGGTTAGGTATGAGGCTAGCAACCCCGGGCCGCTTAGATTTTCAAACTGCTAGAGAAACTCCAACACACAGAAAATATATTGAAAATACAAAAGCTTTAAATAAAAAATCTTGTTCTTGGCTCGAATCAGAGGAGCAAAATGACGCCGGCTGGTGAAAGCTTTCAGAAAGCCAGTCAGCCAGCTGATGTGTCTTCTCCCGATGACAGCAAGAATAAGAATGTGCAAGTGGAATGTCCGTACACTGTACGAGACTGGGGAGGCTGCTTATGTAGCCAGCGAAACGAGGCAATATGGCATAGAAGTTCTGGGTATCTGCGAGAGCAGACTGAATGAAAGTGGACTATCAAATTTGTCAACGAGGAGTCAGTAATCTACTCTGATCACCCAAGAGACAACCCCGAATACACTGAGGTAGTGGCTATCACATGCGGAAGTGATAGTGGACACCACTCCTTCAACGAAAGAAGAAATCGTGAATGTGATCAAGCTACTGAAGTCTGGAAAAGCAGCAAGATCAGACGGCATTCCTCCTGAAGCACTGAAGATGGCCCCAGAGATTACAGTAAATGTACTCACTCCACTAATGCAAAATGTTTGGAAGGAAGAAAAAGTGCCTACTGGCTGGAAGAAGGGCTACCTCGTCAAACTGCTAAAGAAGGGTGACTTAGACATGTTCAAGAACTCAAGTGGAATAATGCTGTCGCCACGCCAAGTAGAATACTAAGTCGCAACATCCTAGAGAGAATAAACGATACACTAGATACAGAAGTCCTCCCACCGGAACAAGTTGGATTCAGGTGAGGCAAATCATGTTCTGGTACTGTATGCATCATAATCATGCAACAAAGCTTGGAAGGGCATTTTATCCTCTACCTCAACTTCATCGACTTCGAAAGGCTTTCGAAAGACAGCGATGACCAAGGAGTAATTTGGAAAATAATTCAACACCATGGCGTACCTCAAGTCTTTATCAGCCTCAATCAACAGCTGGCTATATGACAATGGCACGTGTTGGGTGATCCATAACGGGGAAATCAAGGAGGTGTTCGAAGTTAATACAGAAGTAAGACAAGGCTGCGTGCTTAGTATCACCGGTGATATTCTCAATTGTGATGGACCGGTTTATGTATCAGACTGTTGGGGGCAAGGAGACAGGGGTACTCTGGACTACCATTTAGGAGACTACAGAAGATCTGAATATCGCAGATGATATATGTCTAGTGTCACACAAACTCGGAGACTTGCAGGCTTAAACCGACAAACTGGCTTAAAAGGCAGCGAAAACAGGACTGCAGGTAAACATAGAGAAGTTTAGGTTGACGGAGATAACCAACGAACAGCAACAGCAACAACAACCAGCACCGGGCACCACCAAGGGGAGAGATATAACAGAGATTGCCTTCTTC